CAGGAATACTGAGTCTCTCCGCTTAGGAGGGCCTCACAGTTTAAAAAAAAAAACCCAACAACAACAAACAAGTGGTGCTTTATTCAAAATCTTGCATAGTTTTTAGCCTCTGTTGTCACATAGGGTCAGCAAGCAGCAAGCCCGATGTTCAGCATGGTGTGAACTGGCAGAAGACTAATCAGGGAATCTGCTCAGGATCAGCTCCCCATAGTCACCCTGCAGGTTATTCCCCTGCACTGGGAGTTTTTCCACAAGCCCTGCTTGCCGTCTCTGTCTTTTGCTCAGGTCTTGAGCCTTCAGCAGGAGTGCAAGGCATTCAACTTATAAAAGCAAGGCCTTTCTGACAAACCTTCATTCATAGCAGTAGAATCACAAGAATTTATAAAAGTATTTACATGTGTAGAGGATTTTAGCATCAGACCTTTCATCTCCCAGCAACCTGGGGCACCGACTGTCATATTTGTATGTCTGGAAAGCAATATATCTATGCAAAACCTTACATAGGAAAACATTACAAATTGCTGTTCCAGAACTTCTTCCTATGAGTTTTAAAGCCAAAAGTGACCACTGTAACTACCTCACCCAGCTGCTGTATTCTGGGACAGTGAGTTTCATCTGGTAATCTAAGTGTATTGCGAATTGCACAGGTTTTTAGGTAGCTGCTCAGACAGGCAAGATCGAAAGATCAGGGCAAAGTTCTTGCTGTGGCTTCAGTGAGGACAGGATTTCATCCTCAGTCTCTGTCTAGCGTTTGCTTGCTAACTTATTATTGGACTTCTTGGGGTTTGTTTTATTTGTTTTCCAGCTGTGATGGTAACATCATCCTTGAGAGCATTAATAAGGTGAAACTACTGATGATGAACTGTCATGGCAAATGCTTCTTAGAAGTAGCTTTTGGAAAAAAAACAGTAGCCTTGCCCACATCTTCACAACTCAGGCTCAGCGTGAGATCTGTGTGGTGTTAACTATGTCCAAAAGTAATGTTGCCATATAAACTGGTTTGGGTAGGTGTGTTATTTACACTAGCAATTCACAGCAGTGCAGGTTTGGCCCTGAAAGTCCTGTGGCATCCCTTTCACATGGAAGGTGTTTCATGGTTTGTGTTTAGGGATTTTTTTATTATTTTTTTTTCTGTCTGTGGGAGGACTTGCATTGTACAACACTCCAGTTGCTGTGATGTTTTTCAGTGATTGTTTCTTTCACATAACAAAGGGTATCTCATTCAGAAAGATGCCTCAGTCATTTGCAGCACTTGAAGCTATCTTATTTTAAATCTTCTTTTCAGAAGTCACATGAAGCCAGTGGATACTTTTTTGCCTAACATAAAATGAAAGCAGCAATAGGCTTTTAACTCTGTTGAGTTTGTGAAAACTTCTTTTCAGAAGATAGAAATTAACCTCAACATACTCCTTTTAAACAACAAAATTTTGCACCTACAGCAAATCAGAGCTTGAGGCCCAGTTTTCCAATACCTTTATGAAGAAATGTTCATTGCACCATTTCAAAAACCCTCCTTTAAGCAAATTCTATATTTGAGGTTGAGGGGGGACAATTTTACTGAAGTTCTATGACTAATAGAAAATTGCAGGAAGGTTGATTGCTCACAACTGAATCCAAATGGGAGGGATTGGGTGTTCCAGACTGCCCAGAGCAGGACCATGCTTCACTATTTACAGTCTTTATTAGATAAGAACATAACTATTCAGACATTTTTAAAAGATGGTGTTACATGTAGTATTGGCAGTACCATAAGGACTGTCAGTCCATATCTAAGCACATCTGTTAAATGTGGTCTTCAGTTTACCCACAGCATAATACAACATTCAGACTTTTAAGACAGAATTTATCTTTCTTTTGATCTTGTATTTGGTTCAGACCTCTTTAGAAGCTGCAGCTCTTTCGATCCTAGACAGTCTTTTGACTGATACGCTATTTAATCTATCTTCATCGCAGCTGAGCCATTGTTCATGATGAATTAAACATCCCTACTGTTTTCTTTGATCACAGAACTAACAGTTACTTTGTTATTATAATCTCTTAACTTGTCATAACGCTTGCATAGCCTTGATGGAAAAGACCAGTTAGATCAGTGATTCCACATGCTTCTTTAGAAGCAGAATACATACGGATGGCTTGTACTTGACCAAGAGACAGATTGCTCCACCTTGCATCCACCTATTTGAAGTGAAACTTGGCAAAACATCAGTTTTCTCTATGTTGGGGCCCCACATTGGCTGGAAAGACTACCTAAGTCACCTGCTATAATTTATTTTTTTTTCTTGTTTCCATCTCTAACTTGGAGTTAGGTTTTCTGATGCTCTGTTTGCTCTTTCAAATTATCTGACAATGTAACAATCAATACTTCCAATTAAAGTGAAGTTTAGACTTCCTGAAACTGAGTATTGTTCTTCTACAGGCAGAACAGACACAAGCAATGCCATTGCTGGAAATAAAAGCCCAGTGATGGAGATAAAAACCAAACGAAAGCTCTCTGGTGCCTGCCTTTCCTGTCTAGTGCACTGTGTATGTTTTACCAGAAAGCTATTACTGCTTTGGGAGCCAATACTTTCACAGCAGAGCCAGTCTTGAAAGCCCTGCATAGTGATCACTTCTACTCCACAGCCCTGTGTCCTGGGCTTGCAGTTCCCACAACATAAAGTTAGTTGTCTTTCTGGATCTGACCCAAAGTGAATAAAGCAAGTGGGAACTATTTCAGTTGGCTGTAGGTCAAGTAAAATATTATAAAATATTAAGGGCAGGGGAGATTGTTACGCTGTCACACACCTGCAAGACTTGCACCATGTACATTAGTACCTTGCAGTGATATATCATTATTTCCCATAAAATACTCAGAAGATTTTTATAAATTCTGAGCTGAATGCTCATAACAAATTTGCACGTGTCCAGCTGGGATTTCAGAGAGCTGATGTTTGCCCATGCAGGTCCTTTTGGCAGGATCAGATTCTGCATTGGTTCACACCCACTGAATCCAGTGCTGAAGTGTGCCATCTTTGTGGATTACAGTTATTAGCAATGTACAGCAACACTGCACTACATCTTGTCTCAAATGAGAATATCCTACCCAACTGAACCTACAGGGCAAGCCTACAAAGAAAGGTTAGTCTCTTTTTTGAAGTTTGCCCCAGAACCCATGGTTGATTTTTCCATGAATCTTCTGAAAGACATCACATCTTGACTACAAAATGTGTGTGTATGTATATCTATAAAAACCATCAAAGAATGGCATGATGTGCAGCACTACACAGCCTCATGCCAAGACATGCAGGGTACAGTTACACGTAAAAAATCACCAGCACAATGTTTGTAGTCATTAAAGTCTTTTTCCTAGCTGTCAGACAGGTTAACTTGCAAAATTGTCTGGCTTACAGTTCTTGCTGTCACCCATGCCATCTGCAAACATGTGCCTCTTTTCCTTTTAGAGACTTCTCCAGGAGTTGCTGAGGTGACGTTTGTGGAAAAGGAGCCAGCTGAACGCCATGCAATCATGTCATGGGAGCAAGTGAGTATTTTCATTTCAATACTGCAGTGAGGTCAATCTGAATGTACAGCAGCCCATGGAGAATGTCGAAAGCAATGGCTGCCTTGGGTTTGTTTGTGAGACAGACTGTTACCAGTTTTGATACACCATGGACACTAAAGATATTTATAATATATTTTTTAATCAGATATTACTCTGTGTTTCAGGCTATCACGTGTACCTGATCTGTTAGAGAAACTTGATCAGTGTGTGTATATTCAGAATAATAACTCTAAGAAGAAATAACATAACTGTAGTAGGCAGCAACAGCACTGACTCAGTGGAGATCAAACATTGTTCTGAGTCATGTCTGAAGCCATTTTCCGTCTTCCTTTGAAAACAAATAATCTTTTTTATTATTAATGGCCATTAAAGGTAAAGGCCTCAAACTGGAAAATAGCACTGACCCAGCCAGTTTGTTCCAGTTCTCCATTTCTCTTCTCAGTCTTAGCTATTCAATTCCATTTCTCACAGCCCCTCCTTCCACCTCCTCCTTGGCTAACAGAACAAGTCTCTTGGCCAAGGCGTGTCCCATTGCCTGTTTTAGAAGACTACAAAGGACACATGCTACCTCGACTCCTCATCAGCTGGCCTCAATGCATCAGACTGCATGACTGGAGGACTCCTGAATACTGCTGTGTGACTAGTGGGCAGAGATGGCATTTTTGGTTCCCATTTTGCATATGCACGTTTAAAAATTGCATGACCATGAGGGAATAACTGCTCTAGTTGTTGCTCATATGTAGGGAA